GATTTCCTAACAGGACCCGCCGCGGTATACCACCGCTTTTCGCCGTCGACTTGCAGTGCTGTGGATTGGCACCGTCTTCGTCAACATTGGCGGACTCTGTAAAGTTCAACTGGCAACCCTTGCCGGTATAACCTGACGAAGTGGGTGTGGCGAGACTACAAAACCGGCTGCACTCATCGGAGCTACTCGGGCACGGCACCGAAACTAGGATGCGTCACTTATGCCCTGTTACTTCTCAGGTCGCTGCTGCCAGTGTCATCCTCACCGTGCTGCTGACCTCGCCGATTTTTACGGCGCACGATTTCCTAACAGGACCCGCCGCGGTATACCACCGCTTTTCGCCGTCGACTTGCAGTGCTGTGGATTGGCACCGTCTTCGTCAACATTGGCGGACTCTGTAAAGTTCGACTGGCCACACTTGCCGGTATAACCTGACGAAGTGGGTGTGGCGAGACTACAAAACCGGCTGCACTCGTCGGAGCTACTCGGGCACGGCACCGAAACTAGGATGCGTCACTTATGCCCTGTTACTTCTCAGGTCGCTGCTGCCACTGTCATCCTCACCGTGCTGCTGACCCCGCCGATTTTTACCGCGCACGATTTCCTAACAGGACCCGCCGCGGTATACCACCGCTTTTCGCCGTCGACCTGCAGTGCTGTGGATTGGCACCGTCTTCGTCAACTCTGGCGGACTCTGTAAAGTTCGACTGGCAACACTTGCCGGTATCACCTGACGAAGTGGGTGTGGCGAGACTACAAAACCGGCTGCACTCATCGGAGCTACTCGGGCACGGCACCGAAACTAGGATGCGTCACTTATGCCCTGTTACTTCTCAGGTCGCTGCTGCCAGTGTCATCCTCACCGTGCTGCTGACCTCGCCGATTTTTACCGCGCACGAATTCCTAACAGGACCCGCCGCGGTATACCACCGCTTTTCGCCGTCGACTTGCAGTGCTGTGGATTGGCACCGTCTTCGTCAACATTGGCGGACTCTGTAAAGTTCAACTGGCAACACTTGCCGGTATAGCCTGACGAAGTGGGTGTGGCGAGACTACAAAACCGGCTGCACTCATCGGAGCTACTGGGGCACGGCACCGAAACTAGGATGCGTCACTTATACCCTGTTACCTCTCAGGTTGGTGTTTTTTCGACATCCTACCGAGATAACAACGTCTGTGTCATTGCGGTCTCGTGCACTCCCGACGTGTACAATCGCTTGACTCTTATCTGGCGTAATTTATCCCAGTGTGCTGCGAAAATGCCATCTGTCGCTGATTTTGTAGCAAACTTGCTTCTACTGTCTGGGGATGAAACTAATCCCGGCCCGGATATCCTTGTTTCTGAGGACATCTCCCCGCTTTCTCAGATCCTCGCCTCGTTAAATAGCCTTTCTGCAGGTTAATCAGCAATTTTAAATGTGATAATATCATTACAAGAAAAGGAAAAATAACCTGACAACGTTCTTGGGGACATGAGGACGCAAGTGAACGCTATTGACCGATATGTCTCTGCCTTAAAAGTGGTAAAAGATGAAGTCGCTTCAATTTCCACAATGAATGCAAGAGCCAGTGCGGACCTTGAACGTGTACTGCAGAATTCCGCAAACCTAGAAAACCAGTCTAGACGTAAGAATCTTTTGTTTTTCAACCTTCCTGACATTCGCGGAGAAACATGGGCAAAATCTGAGAAAAGCGTGATTGCTTTTTGCAACGAAATGCTTGGCGTCACTATTCTCCCTCCTGATTGAGGCAAGATTTTAAGCTTCGGCATGACAAGTTGATAGTGGGGAACTTAAAATACATTTACGATAAACAATCTAACTTAGTGAAAGCACTACCTGCATAGCAATCCCGCGGTCACCAACCGCGTTCCTCCTCCCCCGAAAGCTGCTGTCGCCCCGTTTTAAGTCTAAATTTTTTCGTCGCCAACACTAGAAGTGTTCATACAAAGCAGGACGACCTTTATTCGGTAGTCTAGTCATGCTCAGCCGACGTTATCATTTTAACAGAAACTTGGCTCACAGATGATATCTCAAACTCGGAACTAATTATACACCCCTCACATTTTATTTTTCGTCATGACAGAGCAGGCCGGAAGGGAGGAGGAGTACTTGTAAAAGTCAAAAAGGCATACCACATTGATTGTTTTAATACTGTTCCAACCTTTGAAGCCGTTTGGGTTAGAATCGTAGTTTCTTGTTATAAGCCCCCAAGTGTTCTAGATTTTGCTCCGCTACTTCATGATTTTCTGGACTCTCTTATTCTTTTATACCCAATTGATGTACTTGTTATTTCTGGCGATTTCAACTACCCTAAAATTAAGTGGTGCATTCTGTCTGATAAAATGCCATTTTTATCGTGGCAGAACCTTCCAAAACAGTCTCGCGATTTTGTTGACGTTACATCCTCTTTTGCACTTTCTCAAATTGTTAATAAACCCAGTCGTGGTGAAGCCATGCTTGACCTTTTTTTATTTCAAAACCCAATCTAGTTGCAAATACTGTGTATATGGAACCATTAAGTGATCACTTATCTATTAATGCTGAACTTTTCATTCCATCATGTGAGCAACCTCTTTGGGCAAGAACAATTTCCAGTTACTCTAGGGCAAACCTCGACGCTATTAACCAACACTTTTCGCTATTTTCAGCTTGGTTTTTAGAAGAATTCGATTCTAGATCTCTGAATGAAAACTGGCTTTTGTTTAAGTGTAAATTGCTTGAGTTGGGTGACAAATTTATTCCGAAACTAACCATTCACACGTCGTTTTCGAACCCGTGGTTTACAACACGTTTGAAGAGGTTGCCAAATAAACAGAATAGGCTTTTTCGGGCCGCAAAGGCGTCTCAGACTGCTATTTCATGGTTAAAATAGAAGGAGTGTTATTTAACTTGCAAATATAAAATAAGAAATGCAAAAGAGAAGTTTTTTAACTATGATCTTTGTAATATACTGAAAACAAACTCCAAGAAGTTTTGGTCCGCTGTTAATCCAAAGCAGGAAAAGGACTCTGTGAGCTTGACTGACGCCTCTGAAAAAAGTTTACCAACCGCAGAGACTTGTGAGCTGTTTTGTACCTTCTTTAGTTAAGTGTTCACTGATGAAGTTTTTCCATTACCCTCTTGCTGCCCAGAATATCTTATAACCACCCAAATGGATGAGACCATTTTGACAAATGACGGAATTTCAAAATTAATATCAAATTTACCATCTAACTCGGCTCCCGGTCCTGACCTTATAACTACAAAGTTGCTAAAGATTACAAGTGACATATCTAGTGTGCTCTTACCCCGCATATTTCAAAAATCCCTTGACTCGGGTGTTGTTCCGGCTGACTGGAAATCTGCAATGGTTGTCCCGATTTGTAAAGATGGCGCAAAATATGGCCCTACCAATTTCAGACCCATATCTCTAACCTCTGTTGTAACTAAATTGATAAAACATGTCGTTTATTCTAGTGTAATAAATTATTTATGTGTAAACAATATACTCTTTACAAACCAGCACGGCTTCCGGCGGTCGTACACCTGTGAATCTCAGCTTTTTGAGTTTTTAACGGACATCCACCATAACCTACATAAAAAAAACATAAAACTTGCGCTCTCTTCATTGATTTTAAAAAAGCGTTTGATGAAGACCCACATTGCCGTCTTATCCAAAAATTAAAAGCACTTAAAGTAGAAACGTCCGTTATAAATTGGATTGAAAATTTCCTTTCAAACAGAACACATAACGTTGTTATAGAAAACAGTTGATCGTCACAAAAACTTGTTAAATCGGAGGTACCGCAGGGAACCGTGCTGGGTTTATTGTTGTTTCTAATTTACATAAATGACCTGCCGGATCTTTTGAATTCTACTATTAGGTTATATGCGGACGACTGCGTGATTTATAGAAAAATGATGAGTGTAACCGACTGTACCCTTTTGCAAAATGAATTGTCATAAATTCAAGCATGGTGTAGAGAGTGGCAAATGGAGATGAATGTTGACAAAACAAAATTTCTTAACTTCACTACAAAAAAAAAAAAACGGTACCCAAATTGACTATTCACCTTCTACCATACCAGTTGAAGCCGTAACATCCTACAAGTATCTTGGCATCAACTTTAACCATAACTTCTCATGGGAGCCTCATATAAACTGCATATCTGCGAAAGCAAACAGAAGTTTGGGATTCTTAAAGCGCCATCTCTATAAGGCCACGCAAGAAACAAAGCTCATCGCATACAATTCTCTCGTCCGTCCTCAACTCGAGTATGCATTCATTGTTTGGAACCCCTATCAGTTGTATCTGGAAGAAAAATTGGAAGCTGTACAGAACCGGGCTACACGTTTCATTCTCCACAATTATCAGCCTACAAGTGTTACCGCAATGAAAGCAAAATTAAACCTCCCTCTTTTAAAACACAGAAGAAAAGTACCACGTCTTACCCACCTGCACAAGATATATTATAATTTTCCTTTAAAAAAAGATGAATACCGCCCTCCGGCCACCCACTTCTCCCACCGCACTGACCACCCACTCAAAATTCAACTGACTACGCCTAGGACAAACCTATTCAAAGTTTCTCCCTTACAATTGGCTATTACTGATTGGAACAACCTCCCGTAACCTATTGTTAGCATCAAAGAATGCAATAACTTCAGATCTGCCCTTTCCTCTCTCGTCACCACCTAGCGTCCTGTTTACACGTGTACATAAACATCCTAGTCTTTTTTTTTTGTGTCTTCTTTTGAGTGTTTCAATTTGCCCCCCCCCCCCTTATGTAAAGCCCCCTGTGGGCATTTAACGGTTAAATAAATGAAATGAAATGAAATACAAGGTGGAGGTTTAGCAGTCAATACGATAGAAACCAAAATATACATATTGGGTCTACCTTGAAAAAAGAGGTTATTGAGAACTAACCAATGAATGCCGCCATAAAATACATTAAAATTTGGTCCCCCCGGCTTTTCATTCTTACATTTAAAAAGACACAGCAATTTATATCCTAATACTTATGTTTATTTTGTGAAGTTTTTTCACGACTCGGTTGTTAGTGAACCGTTGTTTTGTGGTGACTTGTGCTGACGTTGGTTCTTTGCTTCGTTCCATACCACAGGAACCCAGAACACACATATAAATATTAGGAGACCTCCAAGTAGTCTGTACATGTTGTCATAAGATCCTGCTTCATCCCGAAACAGACCTGTAAAAAATAATTAAAATGTTTTTTTTCTCTTATTTTACTTTCTGCTGTAAAGGCCACGTGAAGCGCAAAACATAGACACAGCCTCAGAAGTGCTCGACATTTTTTTTTTTTAATTTAAATGACCAAAAACAATGTTAGCTCCTTTGCTGATCGTCTGCAGATACCTTGGCCAACTAAGTCGCAATTGTAGTATGAGCTTTTTAAAAAATAAATTATATATGTATATGTTTTAACGTTTTCGTACAATAAAGTCATGTCTCGTTAATATGAACCCGTTAATATGATTACACCGGCATATGGACACCATTTACAGCGACAAACTAGGAAAAATACATGCATTTTAGTCTCGTTATTATGGATAACTCACATAATCAAAGATTTTTTGGGTGAACGGAGGTGTCCATATTAACGAGACAAAAGTGTAGTATAAACTCAAGTTTGCTGCATGGGTTCTTCAATCACAAAACTTTAGTCCGCCCTAAACGGATACGGAATGACTCCTGTGTGGAAGGAATATTTGTTGTTTGCGTATGGCTGCTAACCAGTATCATTTACGATCATCACATTGTAGTAAGTACACCATTTCACGTTGTGGAAAGGCTGTGCAATACTAGACAATTACCTCAATCGAAAAATGTGTGAAAACTAGAAACAGGTACAATATGGTAAGGCGAATATAAGAGCTTAATTAGTGTCCTACTGTATTTTGGCACGTCATATTAAATTCACCATAAAAACAATTTATCAGTATTTAACTCTTTGTTTGAGACGAATACCGTAGTGTGTTCACTAGCTTCAGGAGTGTTAAAAAAACTTATGTCGTGGCTTTCACTCGCACCGTAAAAGTTAGGTATGAGTCAATGCTATAGGACTCGAACCACTATTCGCCCACCCCTAGAGCAAAACTCTAATGTGCACTGTGTTAACAGATTAGACCAGTGGTTTTCAACCATTGGTGTTTCGCTGACCCCCTGGGGATCGGCGGAGATGATGGAGGACCCCGTTTTAGTGAGGGGAGGGGAAAGGTATAGGTTAAATATGTTAATGATTTAATGGATGGCCATAATTAATGGCTAGAGAGAAGTAGGTCTCTCCTATTAACATACCTACAAGAGAAATCACCCGAAAACTGAAACATTTCTTCTCGACCTGAGAAAAGACAACTTTTATGGCCGGGCTTAACTGATGAGGCAGGGCTTCGCGGACCCCCATTTGAGAACCATTCGATTAGACGAACAAATATATATTTTTAATAAAAACACAGGCCTCAAAATGACAAAGCTGCATATTTGCATCTGATCATGGGCAATGCCATGAATATACCGAGTTTTATATATTTGTACATTTACTTAAGTAAAAAAATAAAATTACTTTGAAAAATAGAACGGAACAAAAGGAAACTATAAATGCCGCCGACAATTACGAATAGGTGAATCAAGCTTACCGATTAAGGCTGGAATGCCAAGGACCAGGGGTGTCTTCACTAGTCCAATAGTCCCTTGAACAACAGAGAGTCGTTCCAAGCCCAGATATTCCGCGACCAACACATCATGTAGGATGAAGCCACAGCCGATATGCGCAGTGATAAGCGAGCATAATACTGCAATCATCCAGTAACTCGTCACTTGAGGAGCCAGTATCATATCGATTCCCATCAAAAACTTGTTCACTACCACGAGCGTACTGCGGCGAACGTAACGTCTGTCAGCTATCACCGGAAGGCAGATGCGCCCTATCATGTCAGCCACCGAAATGCACGTCGTGAGCCACACTGCATTAGATACCGAGGTGCCCTTGTCTACAGCAAAGTCCATGTAGGTGGAAAGAAAGATGTAATCTGCGAATATTGTGACTGCACTCGATACCAACATGAGGTAAAACATGGGACGAAAAGCCAAAAATTTGAGATCGCGAATGCACTCGTTCGTGTGCTTCCTTTCGACCGACTCTGTAGACGAACTTTTATTCTCCGCGCTATTTTCGGTCACGTAAACTGTGCTGATTGTTTGCTTTGAAGTCCTTTTGGTCTTCTTTTTGGGACGTGTGTACCATAGCGGAACTTTGAGCAGGTGCGTTAAGGGACTTATATTCATTGACAAGGCGCCGAGAAGAATCAAGCTGTACTGTAGACTGTACGCGCCCGTCAGGTACTCCAACAGTTTTGAGAAGACGGTGCCGGAAAGCGCCGATCCCATTGACATAATTCCCAGCGCTGTGCCCCTATACTTATCAAAGTACATCATTGTAAACACCTGAAGTAGCAAGTAGATAGTTCCGCTACCAATGCCTGAAAAGAAAATCCAACGCTGGTAAAATAAACGAGGCAGCATGAAATGCAATAAGAAACATTAGTACAATTACATTTACCAGAAAATTATACAAAGAAATTTAAGAACTTTTTGTTTTTAAATTTCAGTGACCGTGACGCAACTTTATTGAATAAGCTCGGGATAGGCTTCGCATCCAAACTAGTCTCGAGCCAGCCATGACCTTTTCTAGGCTGTCAAAACTCCAAAGCCCAAAATACAGCATAGAATGAACAACCTACAAACCTGTAACTTCTAATATAAAGAAAAATCTATAACAATCAACGGTTCATAATTTAGTCTCCTGGCTTCCAGCTCAATGAGCTACCCAAAAGCATCTACAATTATGACATAAATGTCTCAGTTTGAATGCGTAGTAGGAAGTATTGCATTCAATGTAAATTACAGCACTTAAAGGAATAATCAACAAACCATACAGTTATGATCATCAATACTAAAGCCAAGCACAGCTTAAAAAACACTTTTAGACGCTTACCATGCACCACACCTAATGTCACCGACAATGTGGCTATATTGGTTGCGAAGCCAGATGCAATAATTCCGATCCACAACAGCGCGCTTGCCAGCGCCATGATGTGTGTAATAGAGAGACGAGGTTTTAGCGGCGCCACAATGAGACCTGTGAAATATCAAAAGCGCTTAGGATATTTTTATTTTACGAGAAGAAAAAATTATGCCGTCAATAGCTCTAGCAATTTTACTCAAAACAATACGGATGGGACATCCCAATAACGACTATTTTATTTAACACCTGATATGCCTATGTAATATACGGGTTAAAAGAACACTGGGTGTTTTCACGTCAGATCGTAAAATAATGATCGGGGTCACATTCTTTTCTTTATATTTATGTAAATATAAAGAAAAGAATATAAATGTTAAAGCCATGTAATTGAGAGGAGTATACCGGCTATATGCGAACGGCGTTCACATATAGATAGATGAATGTTCCTCACAGGAACATGGCTTTCACGTATATTTTACAGAAACATACGAAGTATGACCCGGATCTTGATTGTATGATCTGACTTAGAAACATCCTTCAGAGAGGAAATCATTAGATAGAAATAGTAAAAGGCGTAAATAAACTATTGAATCTTGGAGTTACACTGTTCCTTTCTCGGTAATCTTCTAATTTTGAACATAGTTGGTAACCCGCAAGATTCGCTGCTCCTTTTTTAGATATTAATATTGGGAGGGAGCTGAAGTTCCTGCAGCTACTACTCGTACTTTACTGCCCATTAACACCTAAGACGATGATATTCCCTGCTTTTTATAGCCGATCATTTTTTTGTCTTTTGCAATAAATAGAAAGTTCTAGCATAGCGTACATACCCTCGCGTTAGCAGGGCGTACGACGGATGCAAGCTCTCAACGGAACGGTACGGAGCTCGTGAAACGAGCACTTTTAGTACAACGAAACGCAAACGCATACGCAACCGGTTGCAGCACCACCTAGATGTGCTCATGTATAATGCTCTCGTCGCGCTGTGTCACAGCGCGACCAGAGCAACGAGAAGGGCACGCACAGGCCCACCGATAGGGAGCGTACGGACGCATAGCTCACTGCGTTGCGTGCGTTTGAAGCATGCGCAGTGTGGAGCATTCAACGCTAGCCCAAACGTAGAGTGCTGGTGTTTTCTCCATAAAGCAAAACACTTTAAAGTTCATATTTTGATTGCTTCTTTAGGTTGCAAGGATTACTTCGGAACGAGCTACATCATTTTAGTAGCGATCTGCCGTCACGAAGTCATGTTACGGTTACGCTCCTTTCGTAGGGCGAGGTCTACCGTATCCGGCTTGTTCTTGCCTTTAGTGCGGAACAACTTGATACTCAATTGCAAGTTATATATCTATATATATATACAGAGAAATGTACTCGAGACGGTTGTTTGGACTCTTATGACATACGCCTAAAGTCAGTCGACGTTTCGGCCTCAGACATACCTTTTTCAAGACTAGTTACGTGAGACGAAATATTGACACACCTGGGCTACATATGCCCAGGTGGGTCAATATTTCGTCTCATGTAACTACTCTCGAAAAAGGCCTGTCTCAGGCCGAAATGTCAACTGACTTTGCGAATATTATGTTATTCGAGTCCAAACAACCGTCTCAAGTGATTTTCTGCCGCTTATACTCTTCAGCACCCTGCGCTACGTTTTCTCTTTCTTAACCTTATCTTTCTCTCTCTCTCTCTCTCTTATCTATCTATATATATATATATATATATATATATATATATATATATATATATATATATATATATATATATATATACTTGGCGTCTAAAGTTGTTCCCTAAGTTCTAATGCGAGTTTGAATTAATATTATGCAGCCTAATCAGGTTTGGTATACTCACTAATAAAGAAGAAGAAAAAAACGTGTCGCAAGCACGATGAACAAACCCGGGTTGGGGAAAGGGAATTAGTGCACGCTTCCCTCGCAACTGTAATAAAAGAGTATTGTACGCGGGGTCATAAGAGCGGCCGATATGACGGCTGCTTTTGCATCAAAGTTTCTGAACGAGACGGCCGAGACACAATCACTATCGTTTTTTCTAATGACTACCTTACACTCAGTTGAACCAGAACACCCACGCACAGCCCCGATGTTACGTCGCTGTAATGGCGCTCTCATGCCCAGACGCTTTACTTTACGGAAATAAGTTTCCTACGCACGATCGGTGCACATACTTCATGTGGGAACTGCGCGTCTGCCCACATTTCTTGTGTGCTCCTTTGTAAACAGAGCGTTGAGCTCTATGCGTATATATATACATTTTTAAGCACTTGAAAATTAATGTCTCGATAAACTAAAATGGCTATTCTGCAGACAACTGTCATTTTCTTAATGAAAAACACCTCGAGAACATTGAGGACGAGCACGAACACGGTAAAATAAACGGAAACAAGAACTTATATCAATGAATCTGATTTTTGTGTTTGGTTTTATAGTCAATATCTCTAATACTGACTCATTCAAAACCCACTTGATTTGTTCTGTTCACGAAGGAGCAACTCCCACCCCCTCTCAAACTGCGCGTTTTCTATTAGGTTTTTGAATCGCTTCAATTATTTACCATATATGCGCTTCTGAGAGTTCTTGAACAGCAACAAACGTTTTTATGCGTACCAACGATGCCGCCCACGGCCGAGGCAATGCTATGTGGCCAGGCTGCCGTTTCCCTGTCGACTCCGTACTCTTCCATGAAGGCGATGTACAGGTACCCTGCTGTGCGAAACATCGCCGAGCTGATGAAGGCCGTCAAAAATGTGATGAGGACAACGTGCCAGCAATTGTCCACAGCCGGAGGCTCATTGCTCCAACAAATCTTTCTGAGGATTTTCAGGGGCCTCGGCATGTCTATTAGCGAAGTCCAGACGGCGATCCTGATTCACTCTGTCCTAGAATAAAGTAATGTATTGTATTGTAGAGTGAAATCACATTGTTTTATATCTTGGTCGTGGAAAAAAGACGACGTGCTTTAAGGTACTCAATAAAGGGACCAAACACACGTTGATGCAGAAACAAACAAAAAAGGCTAATTAAACGTTCCTGCTTAGAGAGCGTAAGGTCATTCTACTTTTGGGGTACGGCGGCACAAAAATGCGCTGTAAAAAAAAAAAAATTTCAAGGTAGAACGACTGCTAGCCTTGGATTTTTAACATGCAGTAGTGATACACGACCGCACGCTACTATAATTGTGATACATACCTAAACGGGCAGAGGTTGAAATAGACCGATCTCGACAAGCGTTCGGCGGATGCGTGACACGGCCATAACTTTAGTTTACATGAAGCAGGCGGCAGTGCACGAGACAGCTCGTGTCGTGTCGTGCTCTGCACGGGCAGGGCTCCAGCGACGTTGCGCGCAGGCAGAAAGATTAAACTTCCCTTCATGCACTACGCCAGCGGCGGTGTAGCGAAACTGGCTGGTGAGATCGGTCTACTGAACCCAGGATTGCTGAATGAACCCAGGATTTCTGTAGCGCGATCTTTCGCTCCACGTGCTCCAAGCTGATGTACTCTAACACACTCAGCCACCAATCACCGTGATGTTTGACCATCGTCTTCTCAGTTTCTTCAAGCACTGTAAGTCGCAGTGCAAGTGAAAGGGGCAAGGTATAAACTTGATGGCAGTTCATTATGGCCGTGTCCCACTAGAGCGACAGACAGAAGCAAACGACAGCGACAAGCCTCAAACCAGGGTCTTTTGCGATTTGGGAGGTTTTGAAAAATAAAGGAGGCTATGCTCAAACACACGCATCATGCACGCGAGGGTAGCTTTGATAGACTTGCCATCACTCGTGCTTACTTCACGAGCCTTGAACGAATAAACACCTGCCGAAGATACCATCGCGATTATGCTGCATGAGTTTGAGGCGTGTCGCTGTCTTTTGTTTCTGTCTGTGGCTCCAGTGGGACATGGGCATTAGAATGATACCATCGCGATTATGCTGCATGAGTTTGGGGCGTGTCGCTGTCTTTTGTTTCTGTCTGTGGCTCCAGTGGGACATGGGCATTAGAATGATTGGTCACGGAAGAGGGTGTCGCTTGTTCGCTCTGTAGAGGGCCTATATGCAACGTGTAAGAAAAACGATAAACTAGACCTCCTGGTTAAACTCAGTGCATAAAACAGGTATAATATTTAATTGGAAATGATCCAGGGCATCCGACCCTTCACCTCCAGGAGTGGCAGACATAGTGCGGTTTTAGGTGGTGATATAGATAAAAATAAATACGTCTCGTTTTTATCAGAGTGGAGAATAAAAGAAAAGGAAACAGAATGTGGTCTCGCACCGAGACGCACCTTTCATAGTTATTTCGTTCAGCAAGGCTCCATATTAAAGCATTAGATAAAAACCAGCATTTAAAACGTCAACGAGCTCTTAATTACAAAGCGTGCGGCTTTTCGACCTATGATCACGTTATTGTAATAATTGAACTCTGTGGTCAATGTGTCATCATTCAACATTGTGATTCAACACCCACTGCCCTCTCTAACGCCTCATGGCCTCAAGGCTAATATAAATAAATAACAAAAAGTATAATAAACAGAAAGAAATGCAGGGTTTAGGAAAAATTGTTAGAGAAGTAAATTGAAATTAAATGTATTTCAAATTTACTGAACATTAAACAACGCAAAATAAATTCTACCAATATTGTACGTTATTGGCAGCTATCTAAAACAATTGATAGAATTAAATTACAGATGCTATAACTTTTAAAGCAAAGTAGATTTTAGGCTTGTTGGCTTATATTCATATTTAAAGGCGCCGAAAATATACAAGAACCGAGACGAGAAAAGACAAACACAAGGCGCCTTTGTTTTTCTTTCATCTTCTCTGTCTTTGTGTACTTTCGGCGCTTTTGAATAGGAAGGTTAAAACGTTTTTTGTGGCAACTTAAGAGCTTTTATCTGACAACTTTTGTATAAAAATGGAGTAAATCAGTACAATACATTTCAAAAACCAAAGGACACAAACCTGATTCAGCCGGAGATTATGTGTTCTGAGCACCCAACTGAAACTTGCCCATCACGAAATACTTAAATTATATAAAACACGTGCTGTACATCATTGAGGACTGTCGTGTTTACACACCTGCAAATCCGGGAGCGAAAAGTCAGCAGGTGAAATGCGCGTAGAAAATTACAGTGTACCTCGGTCCGCTCTGTGTTAGTGAGAGACAGTGACAGACGCCAGGTGTCTTCCGGGTTCGCCTACCGAGGGCATTGCCCTTTCACTGCATTTTGGCGAACTGGCGGTGATGGGTGAGCTAGAGCTGTATGTATCGTACGCACTTATAAAAAAGTTATGTATCTTACACGGTTCATAAAAAGTTTCTAACGTAAACCTAATTGTACCGGGGATTTGACTTAGAATAATAAAAAAAAAAAAAAATCTAAATACAGGTTTGTCGAGAAACAAAAAGTATTATTTTCGGGCACAGACTTTCAGCCCCGGGAGATGTCAGAGATTGCACATGAATGTCAAGGAGAACGACCTGACGACGAAGGACGAACTCAATCCCATCTTTTAAAGGGTCAGTCCATTTTAAAAGAACCATGTTCCAATTAGATCTCGTTGTTCTATTTGTTCTACCCACCAACAGCAGTTTGTCTAAGAAGTGTGGCTGTTAAGAGATAACAAGTGAGTCACTATTGAAACTAAAAACAAAGTGGACACACGGGCCACAGAGGCTTCGACAATGTGACAAGAATGCCCTTTTGAATATTACGAGGGGAGAAAATATACCAATCTCTTTTTCGCGTGTAAGAAAACTATATTTAGAAGACAATTAAGAAAGGTTTATATTGCGATGACAATGTTTGAAAGCGTTGTAATTCAGCGATGAACCTGCCACGTTCGCACTTGAAGCACAGCAGACAATGCCATTGGTCAAATAATAGATCCCGAGCCCACGATTGCGAAGTCGATAATCGAAGTATATTCAAATAACTGTCAAAACATGTATTAGCTATATACAGTCTTAGGTAAGTTACTTTTAAAAAGTAATTTGTTACAGTTACAGTTACTTTCAGAAATAAAGTAGCGAAGTTACCGTTACAGTTACCGCAACAAAAGAGTAAATCGTTACAGTCACAGTTACTTTTAAAAAATAACGACGTTACTTTTCAGTTACTTTTCTATAACGCAAAAAAATTAGAAAAAACTAGAAACGCCCCTCACCAAGTTTTATTGCATAACATTAAAACGTACTACGTTTTTTACTTGATATTGCAACTTAGCAGATGTTGCTTCTCGAAATTAGTGTTTGAAATTTTCCACGCCAGATCAGTACCGCAAATCAAAATACGAAACATGCGCAGTGCCCTCCGCGTGTATTGTTGTTTCACGATTGATTCACCCGATTAAAAAGCGTTTTCACAGAAAAAATAAAAAACACAACATAGATAGTACTTCAAGACACTAATGTAAGTGTTCAGTCACAAAGTACAAGCGCGTGCGTAAAGATAACTAGATTTGTTTTTTCATGAAATCTACACGTGGGCATATTCCGGTCGTGACTCGTGAGAAAGAACGTATTCACAAGTTCGTGCAAGCCCAACTTGACACTCGAAATGTTGGAATAAACGATTCGAAAAGTGCAAGGAATATTTAAATTGTACTCGTTCAGTGATATAATATTCATAAAACACTAGAAAGTAACGACAAAAGTAACGTCGTTACAGTTACAAGTTACCAAAAAAGTTACGAAATTAGAGAGTAACGCGTTACTACCCTAAACTGGTCATATGTATGTATGTATGTATATATATATATATATATATATATATATATATGTGTATATATATATATATACTTCGCATAACTCTAGAAGCTACCAGAAAGCGCATATTTAATTATGCTCATATTATCGCAAAATGCCTAGCTCATAGGTGTACGTTTACGCAGGGTCGAGGGAGTGAACTCGTTCGTAACCAATATTGCTGTTTGACTTGACAAGCAAACATCTCACCATATCCAGAAGTAGTAATACTTAAGTTATTATATTAAAAGTTTCAACATTCTTGACTCAAACGTAATGAATATAATAAAAAATATTACTCTCGGCTGATTAACTTCCGTGACTCCCGGACCCTCATGCTCTTCTGGTGGTGCATCCACTGTGTTGATGATGAAGACTTGTTAAGTTGCTTGCAGGTTTCCTGTGCCAGTTAGCTGTACTTGTTTTCTTTTTTATCATCTAGTTTTTTTGTTTTTTTAAGAATGTTTAAACCAACCTACGCGATCCAGATGAAGCGCACTCCAAGTATTGTCAAAATACAGTTTCTCTGCTAACACTGCAGTGCATACTGTAACGGAGCCATCTGTTAGTGGCGGAGTCGGACATCAACTTCACATAGGTAGAGCATCCCTCCAGCTGAACGGCGATACGGCCTCATGTTCGGAAAAACAAACTGTCCCATCGCTCGAAGAAGGACTCTTTTGTCGACACTCCGACTTGCGTAAAATATGCAACATGCACTGTGCACGTGTCCCGCACTTGCTTAGCACAAAGGCTGAAGTAGGTTAACCTCGCCTCCTCTGACAATCGTTTTCAGGAGAGAACTGAACTTTCGTGTTTCGCCAACATCACTCCGTTCTTTGTCAGCACGCATTAGGTTATACTTTTCTAAGGTTATGCAGCTCTATTCTAAATTTAGTATGCATAATCCGGATGTTTGCGTGCTTTGACTGTCTTGACTATTTTAGTTGTTCGATGTACCCATTATAGCATTCTCATCGGCTACCATAAGTGTTGCTTTTTCATTTAGGCTGTGGCTCATCTGTTTGATCTTGAACATTTCAGGGTTTTTAGGTCAACCCGTATAACATTGTCGTGACTAACAATGACA